CACGTAATTGACTGACTGACATTCCATTTGAATCCATTACATTCACGTACGAGATAATACTCTTCGGAAAGTTATGAATCCTTCTTCTTCCCCCAGCTATGGGTAAATAGCAGGACAGATCGGGTCCTATAGCCTTTGATGGCATCCGGTCTACCGCAGAAAGAAATGGCAACCTACTGCGGGAAAATATCTGCTTCCTCAGTCATGTGTCGAAAGATACATGATCGCCTAAGTATGTATCACACATGGCATATAATTGACTGACTGACTTTCCAGTTGAATCCATTGCATTCCCATATGTGCTAATATTCTTCGGAAAGGTATTCAGTGACGTATCGAAAGATACATGATCGCCTAAACGTGTATCACGCATAGCACATAACTGACTGAATCTCGCCAATTTTATTTACAATTTTTTTTTCCTTTACTTTCTGTTTACATTCTCTCTGTTATTAAATATGCCACATTGGTATAACAGAAGATATGCTAAGAATGGTAAAACTTTGTAAGAACCTTGGCGCAAATTTATTCTCAATGAACTAGAGATGTCTAAATCACTAGTACATCCACAGAAAATTGCTAGTTAAACATTCTAAATTATTTTTGTCTTAGTAAATTGTTTTCTCATTTAATTAGAGTCGCCTTACTTATGCGAAAAATGTGGTCAGTTTCTTCACGTTAAGCAACTATTTTGTTTAATGTATTATTTATAAAATGTCCCTTTTCTGTTCATATAATCTTTTATTTAAACTTCTTGAGGTTTCTCCAATATATTCCTTCTGGCAATCCTTCGAGGTGATAGAATAAATTCCTCCTTTAAAATTTGGCTTTTTTACTTTTTTTTTTTGTATGAATGTTAAACTATTACGTCGTTCAGCATTTTTTTCAAAACTATCCCCAATATAATCATGAATATTGCTTAATACATTGATCGATATTTTTTAATATCTTTCAGGATGTAGGCGATTATGACACTTTACGGGTTTATCTCCTTTTATACTGCCCCTCCTCATTTAACGTCCGGCCAGTTTAAGGACACCCCGGACTTACGACCAGTTCGCCATCTCAAAAAATAAAATGATAAAAACTTATCCACCCATCGTTCTTCTAGGTTGTACGAAAAATTTGCTTTCATTTTTTTCAAAATGACAAAAATAAATGTTTTTTTCAAAAATAAACGAAATGAATAAAAAATACTGAAAAAAAGACAAATAAAAAATGACGTGTTCTGTATTTACCGTATTCAATCTGAAGTAATGTACAAAACCTTGATTAAAACAAGATATGAAGAATAATAAGAAATAAATAAACTTTAAATGAATGAAAAAAGTAAACACGTAAATAAACCAAAAAAGTAAAAAAAAATAAAGAAAAATATAGTTTGAAAGAAAGAAATTTTGAAAAAAAAAGGTAAAATAGAAAAAGGAAAAGGAAAAAGGTAAAAGAAAATTAGAAAAAGAAAGAAAAAGGAAAAAGAGTAAAAGGAAAATTCAACAGAAAATTAGAAAAAGAAAAACGAAAAAAAGACGAAGAAAATAAAAAAAATTGAAAAAAAAAAGAAAGTAAATGAAAAAATGAGAGAAAGAAGCAAATAAACAAAATGATTAAAAAATAAAAAATAAATAAAAGAATGAGTAAAAGTAAGCAAATCATACAGGCAGGCGAATATTTGAAGAATGTCAGACAGAAAGAAAAATGAAAAAGAAAGAAAGAAAAAAAAGAAAGAGGAAAAGGGAAAAGATAGTAAGAAAGAAAAAGAGAAAGTTTGACAGAAAGAATGAAAAATGTATAAAAGAAAAACAAACAAGCAAGAAAGAAAATGTGAATGCTTGAAAGATAGTTTGGAAAATGGAATGTTTAAAGAAATTTTCAAAAGAACGAAAGAATGATAGTTTGAAAGAGAAAGAAAGAAAGAAGAAAGGAAATAAAAGAAAGAAAGAAAGAAAGAAAGAAAGGAAGAAAGGAAGAAAGAAAGAAAAGGAAATACATGACGGAGAAAGAAAGAAAGAAAGAAAGAAAGAAAGAAAGAAAGAAAGAAAGAAAGAAAGAAAGAAACGGAAATACATGACGGGGAAAGAAAGAAAGAAAGAAAGAAAGAAAGAAAGAAAGAAAGAAAGAAAGAAATGGAAAGACATGAAAATAGAAAGGGAAAGATAGAAAGAAAGAAAAATAGAAGGGGTAAGATAAAAAGAAAGAAAGATAGAACATTTGAAAGAAAAGGATCGGTAAAAACATGAACATAAAAAACAAAATAAAAAAGTAATGAGGAAAGATAAAATAGAAGATGGTGCATATCTTTGTTTAAATATCCGTATAACTACTCAGGAGATGGCTCATGTGAGCCGAAATCTTAGATTAAAGATCAGCTTAATAAAAAAATACAGACAAATTTTGCACATTTTTTGTCTTTATTTACACCGAAATTAAAACAACCATACGAAGCTTAAACGGCTCATAATCAAACATAACAGACGTTCATTATCTGTTATATTTAAGCATATATGTTTATATAATGATCTGCTGCCCGAATACAGTATACATACATATATATATATAGGAGGCACGGTGGAGCAGTGGATAGCGGCTTGGATTGAGGAATCGCAGAGCCGAGTATGAATTCCAGTCGAATCCATTACATTCACTTACGTGCTAATACCCTTGGGAAAGGTATGTATCCTCTTCATCTCCCTCCAGCTATGGGTAAAATAGCAGGACAGACCGGGTTCTATAGCCTTGGGTGGCAACTGGTCTAGGAGAAGGACAACTCTGAATTCAAAACCTGCGGAGGGTCGTTTGGGAACCTTGTGGCATGCATTCGGTGCACCAGGTTTCTGTATTCGTCCCTCCAAAAAGTGTGGCTGGTCCTGCACGAGGCCTTCACCATGTGCCGGTGTCGGGATGTCGGTTTCCTGGGGACTTATCGGCCTGACCCTCATACGTCGAACGCGACGGGAGAGAGTCGATTATATATATATATATGATAAAAATATAATTTTAAGGCTTGCGGTAGTTATGTTTAAGCGCTCAATATCAGGAAGAGAAAGCATGCTAATATATATATATTCAAGTGGTGGACATTGAGGGCAACACCTTATGGCGACAGTCTGTTTCATTCTTACACGAAATCATCAGGCCAGACATGAAACATTCTTTCACCGCTGCACGTTAACTTCAATGTCCACATTTATATTTATATACGCTTTGCCACCGATATTATGTGCTTAACTTATAAATATATCATTCCTTAAAAGTTCATTTTATATATATATATATATATATATATATATATATATATATATATATATATATATATCAAACAAACTCATATTCCATAGTTATAATTTAGTACATTATTAATTTAGTACTTTTATATTATATTCATACTCTAGGACATTGAGTTCTACCTGGATTCTGGATTCTGCCTTCTTGGGTATACATACATACATATATATATATGATGAAAATTTCTCCGATTTTCATTTTCGTATTTTGCTTTGATAAAGTCCACATTGGACGAAACGCGTCAGCAATTACCAGTTTTCCTATTGTCATTTTTATTCATAATATATATATATATATATATATATATATATATATATATTGTCCATTAAAATTATATATATATATATATATATATATATTGACCATTATATATATATATATATATATATATATATATATATATATATATATATATATATTGCCCATTAATATTATATATATATATATTGCCCATTAATATTATATATATATATATATATATATATATATATATTTATATATTTTAAGATATATTGAATTTATGTGCTAAAATGCTGAATTTAAAAAGTAATGTTGAAAGAAAGAAAGAAAGAAAGAAAGAAAGAAAGAAAGAAAGAAAGAAAGAAAGAAAGGTCGGGAGGAGGGGGAGGGGAAAAGACTGAGGAAGAAAAAGAAAGAAAGAAAGAAAGAAAGAAAGAAAGAAAGAAAGAAAGAAAGAAAGATCGGGAGGGAACGGAATGTAGGTGGAAAAAGACTGAGAAGAAAGAAAGAAAGAAAGAAAGAAAGAAAGAAAGAAAGAAAGAAAGAAAGAAAAAGAAAATGGGAAAAAGACAGAAAGAAAAAAATGAGGAGAAAAATATCGAAAGTGAGACTGAGAGATAGAAGAATTTAATTAGTTCTTGTTTTGTGTTTTTTTTTAATCTCCATTCAAAATGAAAAGAAGTATTGAGAAAAATGTGCAAACAAAGCAAGATGAAATATTTTGTACGAAAAAGAAAAAAAATGAAATAAAAAGGTTAAATATGAAGTTATAAACGCTCTATAATCAAGTTTGATTGTTATTCAAAATCGATTCTCTAATCAATTATGTCTGGCGTTGTTTTAAAACAATATCTAATACTAACAATGACGTCATCAATCGATGATAATTTTGCATATGTTTCGTTGTAAAACCTGTCATTGTGATTAACTCTTAAACGGCGTGAAATATTTGTACAAATTAGCGCGACAATTGAGAAAACGGTAAGTGACTTATTTACAAGATAGATTCTGGGATCATTTTTGCTCTATATAGATCTCATATCTTAACTCTTTCAGATTCTAAAAACCTCCCATCCGCGCCTCGTATCCTAAAAGATATGGGGTTGGGCTGAAATGTCCATAGGCTGACTATGAAGAAATGATGCTCTGACCTCATGGGCCTCAGATAATTATCTATAACAAACTCCGTTCTCTTAGGTGACATGGTTGACTGTTTTTGTTTAGTCGTATTACGGGTTATTTAATGGCAAAATCTAAATATATTTGTATGGAATTTTATTCTATTTTTAGAGATGAAATAGTTTAGTGATATAAGTCTTACTAATTAACCGTTGAGTACTGGGGAGAAGAGATAGATTCATACGTTTCCTAAGAGTATTTTCGCGTAAGTAAATATAATGAACCCGACTGGAATTGGAACCTGGCTCCCCGATTAACACTTCAGAGATATTGTCCATTACATCACCTATAGATCCAAGCTTACAGTACTTAGTATACCAAAGCGGTTACCCATCTAGGTACTAACGAGGTTCAAGGTTGCTTAACTTCGGTGATCGTACAAGAACCGGTGATTCTATGTGATATAGCCGTGTGTTGATTCTGTGAGGAAGGACTTGATAATTGATAAGACTCTTCCAGTGAGTTCATAGTGGAAGAATTTGTGTAGCCACAACCTATGCTACACCTTGTCAAAGAGCTTAGATATACCTAATGCGATCACCATTCTGATGCATGCATTGTCTAAGACAGGGTATCAGCAGTGGACCAAGCTGATCGAAATCCGTATTGCTTGTCGCTCAAGAAGTTGGTCTCATTGAAGTGATCAACAACCTCCTCGATGATTTCAGACTGAAAGAGTTTGCTTATAAGGAGGCTGGTAGGCCGATACTGAGGCGGGGATGATCGCTCTCCTGCATTCATGGAAACAGGGCATAAACTTAACACCTTCCGAAGACTTAGGAAAGATTCCTTCAGCGGTTAAAAGATTTAGGCTAAAATCGGAGATATCTCATGGTTAACAGTCTTAAAGACAACCACTTCTTAGGTCGAGAAAGGAAAGGAGAAAAAAATAGGTATAAAGGTTTGAAACATGATGTCGTAAGCTTGTGCGATGTTTAATGTAGAAGTTGTTCCTTTTGTTGCGGACGGCCTTGGGGTTGTGAGAGATTAAAATCTCAAAATGGCTGCGTAAAATTTGAACTGTTATCCAGATTTAGATGCTTAAAAAACAGCAGTACTTGGGATGGCCAGAATTAGGAGATTTTTTTTTTATTTCCTATTGGGATGTTATGAAAGGATAGGGGACATAGTCATTTGTTAGAACCCAGTTCGTTAAACTTCCACATATGAAAATATGCTAAAGAAAAAAACAAACAATACTGCTTCTTTATTATTACTACTACTAGTACTACTGCTACTACTACTACTACTACTACTACTAATAATAATAATAATAATAATAATAATAATCTAAAAAACTAAAAAACGTTCTTAGGGGCAACTGGAATCGAAACGAAGATTGTAAATCTCCAGCTCACCGCTATCAAATGATTCATTGATATTTTTAATCATATCACCCCATACAATTCCGTAATGACATCAAGACACAAATTTGTTTGTTTTTTTTTTTTTTGTTTTTGTAGAGGTATATTAACTCTGTATGGGTCATGTAATGCCGAAATTTTATTTTTCTTGAGAGCATTATTAATTTATTTTACAAAAAATCCGTCCTGGGTATGACGATAAACTAAGTCAGACAGCCAAGCCTTTGATGAGGAGATTTTGAGGAGCGTGGAACCAACTCTTAATTGCTGGTGTTTCCAGGTCTATCCTGGCCCGGGTTGGTAGCACCTGTTAGGGTCCCAGGTATGGGCAAAAATTTAACCCACAATTTGGGGCCAAAAAACTATGAGATGGTAAAAATAGGTTTTAATACCAGCAATACATTTTTATAAAAATATTACCAGCAATACATTTTGAAAGAAGGAAAATGCCAGCAACACATTTTGGAACAAGAAATTATTACCAGCAATACATTTTTTGAAAAAGAAAAATATTACCGGTAATATATTTTTGAAAAAGATATTACCAGCAACAAAAAAAGTGTCGGCATTAAGTTACCCATTGAGATGTTGATATGCCATAAAACAAAACAAACCAAACCAAACAAAACTATACCAAACAAAACCATTTATAAATATGTATGGCTTGTAATATTATTTTTTTTATAAAAATGTATTACTGGTAATTTTTTATTATGAAAATGTATTGCTGGTATTTTTATATAAAAATCTATTATAATTTCATAGTGTTTTGATCCCAGTGTGGAGCTTAACTATTTGCCGATAGTTGGTACCCGAACAGGTGGTACCACAACGGGTCTGGGTGGACCTGGAACAACATCAATTAAGAGGTGGATCGACGCTCCAGAAAACCTGCTGATTACAGGCCTTGATGTCTTGCATGGTGCTTTTGCACAGGCTGTCGTGGATTGTAACGTGTCCAAACTACGCCATTTTTCTCAGTTTGAAAGGGGCAAGAAGAGGTTTCTGGTGGCTTACAAAACGTTTAACTCTTTTCCGCAAAAACTCATTGGTTTTACTGTTTCTTTACATAATGGTAAATAATAAATCTTTATAAATGGTAAATAATAAATATTGCATTGTGCTTGGTTCACATATTTGTATAATGTTGTAAATAAATATTGCCGAGGGAGTCAAAAGTGTATTCAGTAATAGCGGTCTCGAGGGAACAGTCGTTCTTTTAACACGTTTTTTTTTTTTTTTTTTTTTTCAGGCACGATGTTAAATATTGCCGATTTTTTTTTAACCGATTTTAATGTTTAGAGTTTTTAAGTTATTTTCCTGACATTATTTAAAACCGAGATTTTTCCCTTCATTTTTTTTTTTAACTTTGTCTTGCTTTGCGTTCTTCATTTTGTTCCATAATCTCCTCCTTTTTTTGGTTATAATATTACTCTACACTGTATAACCTATTTCTTGTCTTTCCTAAGCAGACACAGTCGACGTTTAAACCCTTTATTCTTTCAGATATTTTCTCTATTTGGTCATTTTTTTTTTTTTAATTTTCTCTTCTTTTATCCCTTCCTTCTTTACGGGTTTACTTCATTCATCCAACCTATTTACTTCGACTCCGGTTATGCAAGACACTTTTGTGTTTTTGCCTACTCTTCTGCGCAAAGACGAATGCTCCTGGCCTTCTTTAAGCTACCTTATCATACAATACACTCTATGTCGTTACAATAGTCGGACAAGGAACTCACGAATTTCTCTCTCGTGCACACACAGAAAACTATATATGTATGTGTGCGTTTTTTTTTTTTTTAATCTTGGTCTTTGAATTTCTCTGATGTGTACATCCCTCAGTATATGTTCAGGTACAGAGGACAAAGATAAAAAGGATCAATTTAGTGCAAAGGGCATTTTTTCGCTTTTTTAAAGAATAATTTGTAGATTTCTTTTTAGTTCTAATATGTATCCCATATTATTTATTTTACGTGAGGTCATCTTTTTTTGTCGGAGAGTGTCTTGAGTTTGATGTCTAGCTGGATAAAAATGCTGGCAATAGATTGGGGGACATTTCCCTGATTAAATACGAACGCTATATTCAAGTTAGTATCTATCTATCTATCTCTATATATATAGTTGTGGGTCGTTACATATATATATATATATATATATATATATATATATATATAAAGAGAGAGATAACAACAGACTGAAATCAATAGATAAATTGATACATATGTATTAATTGATATAAGACAGACAAAAAGAGATTGATGAAGTGAGACAGAGTGACAGAGCAAGAGAGAGAGAGAGAGAGAGAGAGAGAGACGAACAGATAAATTTTCGGAGAGACAGTCATAGAGAGAGAGAGAGAGAGAGAGAGAGAGAGATGTAGAGTAAGGGGTAAATTTATATGAACACCATTCTGAATTTGGTTGAGAGACAGGAGGGGAAACAAAAATTACCACTTATATACAATCATACATACATAGGTAGAGACGTATAAAATAGTATATACATATATCCATGCACAGCGATAAATACAATGAGAGTCAAACACAGACAGCAGATAGATAGATAGGAACAAAATAATATATCAACAGAGACAGATTAAAAAAATAAACAAACAGAATTTTTAAAAAATACTGTGTCTCATTAGACTCAATATTTTTTTTAAAATCATAAGTAATAATTCGTGCCTGATGAGTTGTTGCACTTCGAACGTATTTATCTATCCATCCCCGACTCTCTCTCTCTCTCTCTCTCTCTCTCTCATGCGGATGACTATATATATATATATATATATATATATATATATATATATATATATATATATATATTGTTAAGTTATGAAAACTTGGTAATCCGTATAGGTAGTCCCAAGGAGGATTAAATCCTGAGAGCTCAATGTAAATCCAGAGCTAATATTTTAAAGAAAAACAGACCACTTTAAGGTTCCATTATAATAATTTATTTCAACAGAGTACTTTTAAAGGAAGTCGGATCATCAGATAGCACTAGAAGCTTTCTTTCTTTCTCCATATGTAAAATCTTTTTCACTTTTATGGGAAGCTTTCTAATGACGGAAGTGGAAGATATGCTTCGATAACTGCATTTCGGAATAAAATATTTTAACAGCATCGTTATTTCCCACCTGATGAAACGTCAAAAAAAAAAAAAATTAACGTTGAAACAAGATGTACACTTTCGTAGTGGATATGTACATGTTATAATGTAACACTGCATATATATATATATATATATATATATATATATATATATATATATATATATATATATATAATATGACCTAATGTTTTCAGCTGACATAAAGTGGAAAGAGTATATTGAATCGAATGGCAGCTAATCCCGTTGGTTCACTGTGTCTTTCTAGAAAACTTTTCTTGCCAGAATATATTTTACATATTTATAGGTCTATCAGTCGTCTATGCTTTGAATATTGCTGCCATATATGTACTAATGCTCTTGCTATATATTTAGAGATTTTTATAAAATCCAAAGAAGTATCTGCAATCTTACTAGTACAGATCTGGGATGTCGATTTCAGTCATTTTGCCACCGCCGTAAACTAACTTCCCTGTACCTGTTCTATAAATACATTCTGATGAAGTTTCCATTTTTTTTTTAAGTTGTTATTCCCATCACCGTAGATAAATTGTACATTTGGGGATTAGTTAGGACTACATAGAGACTACATAGAGACTTGAGGTATTACAGTGACTGTAGTGTAAGAATGTATTGTTTTGATGTAAAGAATACTGTGGGGTATCTGGGTCAGTAATTTTAGCCAGCTAAGTTCAAGCTAAAGAGGTTAAAGACAACCCTTCCCCCTAATCCCCCAATTTTGACCTTGTCCCACATTTTTTTTTATCATATCATAATAAATCTTACTTTCCGCTAGACTTCATGAATTTAAGTGCAGTACTAGATTAGTGGCTAGGTCTTATCATGTTACAGTTGAAATTGCTAGATGCAACCGTAAGTTCTATGCTAACAGTTTCTTCTCTCGCATTTCTCTCTTGTGAAACTCTCTACCGCCT